CAAGCAAAGGCTCGTTTAAAGAGAAGGATATTTATTAAAGAGTTCAGTTGAACAAAAGTGAGAGAAAAGTAACAGCAAAACAACTACCGATTCAGCCCCGTGTCCAGGTTTCTCTGGGCATCAGAAAAGTCCCGCAACTGCTTCCAGCGTCGTAACAGCATTTATACCGCCCAGCTCAAAAGGAACACAGGTGTATTAGATCGGCATCTAATGAATGAAGACAAATAACAAAACTCTCTGCCACTAGGGGGCAGACATATCATTACAAGCCACCACTTGTGAACAGAATAAAATAAAAAATTACATGCATATGTAACAATCATACACAGATAAGTGATAAGTGTAGTGAGAGTGCCCCTGGGTGTTTGGGTGATGGAATTTCTCTAAAAGAGCATTCTTGGTCAGATTGTATTGCACAACATGCCTTTCTGTCTGTGTAGTTCTGGTTGGAGTTTGTACATCTCACTCTCTGACAGGCGCGATTGCTGTGCTCAGTGTTTGGGCCATGCCCATGCTGAAGCAGCTTTTGTGGATGGTTTATGTCCTTTTTGTGAGGTCATGGCTATCGACACGTTGCGTTCGCTACTTCCAGGTATGTGGCCTCGATGATGTGCACTGAAGGAGAGCAAGGAGATGTTGCGGGAGCAGTTCGGCCAGATGAATTCCCGCAGACTTTCTCCAGTAGAGTTACTGGATGAGTTTGAGATCCCACCTCAGTGTGGGTTTGATCTCTCATTCAGGGCTCACGATGAGGATGATTTGTCTATCGCAGCATCGGAGGGTGGGTCTGACAGTTTGGAAGCGGATGACTCGACTAAACTGCCACTTCTGGGTGCTGTGTGTCAGTCTGAGCTTGACGCTGAGATGGCAGTACTCACCCACCCGCAGGTTGCAGTCCTTCAAGAATGACGTAGAAGACTCCCTTGTGGTTGTTCTTGTTTGAGGCTCAGTTTGTAGTTATAAGTAAAGTCCCATGGGAGGCAATCGTAACAATAAAATCTCTTGTTTTATTAGTTACAATACAAAGCAGTTAATGCAAAAATAAAACAAAATCACCTAAGCTGCGAGTTCTAAACTCAAACTCTAAACAGCAAAAATTGCAGATGGTGTTAAGTGCCCCTCGATAGGGTATCAGGTGTCCATCAAGCTTAATGTAGGCAACATCTAAAGAGTGGTTTACTCCTCAGACTTTTTATTCTACTTTTTGGGGAATATGAACCATGTCTAATAAGGAAGATGTCGCTTATGTTGCTGTCTGTGTCTATCACTCTTCCTCTTCATCGTAGTCTTTGTCTGCTTCAACTCTGCTTGATGTTACAACATGCTTTCTTCACCCCTATGTACCCTCTTGTTAACCTTTGTAGTTGATAACATAGCATCAAGCTCATGATCCTAACTTTTACAACTGTTGCTTATTCATCCTAACAAAGCAAATATTGCATGTGCAAGCATCTTTATATCAAGGCATATATGGCATTAACCTAAAAACAAGCAAATAACATATCATTGAAACAGGTAAATAGCAATATCAATATTCATATCCAAAACACTGGAAGTGTACGAGGAACTGATGAAATTGTGCAGGCATCTTTTTTCTGCCAGAACATGATGCACCGGCTCCTCTGTTCTCTGGGGACCAGCGAGGGGGTTCACAGAGCTCCCTCAGGTGGAGAGGTTGGTTGTAGTGCATTTTTGCCCACAAAACGCCTCCAACTGGCGGGGTCGCCTGCGACTCACTGGCCCCGCAGCAGCCTGGACCAGCAGTCAAGCCTGAATAACGGCAATCTGCTCACAGGAAGGTGGCACTGCAGCCTGTGATCAGTCTACTAAGAACCCTTGGAAGAATTCAAAATGGTCTTGAGATGAGTGACCCAAGATGGAGAGACTTGCAGACCAGTCAAACTCCACTTCCAATGGGGGGACAAGAAGTGGATGCTGAATGTGGCTGTCTGTGACGGAAAGCCTCCGAATGGTCAACATAAGAGCAGTTTCTTTTTTCCTGGGTCATACAAACACCGTTTATGGTCCTTGTTGCCATGATGGCCAGGCGCTGACTTTGAACCTTTGTGAACTCCGGTTCCCGTGTACATCAGTGGATTTTTCAACAGACGCACACACACACACACACAGAGTGTCAGTTTGTCTGAACAGCACTTTGTCTACTTTGGAAAACAGTAGAAGGGAGATGCTGTCTCCAAGCAGAGAATCTCTCACTGGTTTGTGGATGTGATTCTCATGGCTTATCAGGTCAAAGGGTGACCAAGGGCATTGCTGCTCCATCAGCTCTGGCAAATGGTGCCTCACTAACAAACATTTGTAGAACTGCAGGCTGGGCTACACCTAATACATTCACTATATTCTACAATCTGTGAATGGAACCAGTCTCAGTAGAATTCTGGGTGTTAGTACCTGAATTAAGAGGCCTGGTAAGGTGCAGAGCTTGCATTTATTGCTCCATAGTGCAGTTAGTGCTCCATATGTTGTGACTCCCTCTGGCGGTCCCATATGTGTATCTTCCACTGCTCAGTACCTATTAGGAACTCAGTTTTTCCCTGTACAGAGTATTTCTCTGTCACTAGGTACTGTGCTTGGTTGTTCTCCTCCTGTGTGGAGCCCACCACAGAACCTTCCCTATGTAGTGCTTCCTCCCAGTAAGTCCATAGGTTGTTTCTCCATGTTACCTTCCCTTCAGGTAGGATGTGTTCTCCGGAGTGTTCTTTCCCCACTCAGGGAAACAAACGTTTCCCCAATGTTAACAACATTGATGTTCAATAACTACGAGATGTTCTTTTGTGTCTTCTTGCACTTGAATGGTGTACAGTCGCATGAATTTTTAAATCAGCAAGGTGTATTTGTCCGTTCAGTGCCAGAGGAAGTGAAAGAAAACTGGCTTTGAGGCTCGATCACATGTCAGAGACACGACGTGGCTCTCTGTGTCACAGAAAACAGCTCAAGAGCACTGAATTTAGTTTTTTCGTGTATTCTTGTGCTTGAATGGATGAGCTTTTGTAAGGACATTGACATCCCGATCGGAGCACTGACAGATCAGTCAACTATCCCAAGCATCTTTCACACTGGCCTCTGGCCATCAGACATTCCTAACTGCCGAGATCTGACCTGGTAACGATCAAATATGGTGACTTAGCTTGGCAGTGTATTGGAAATATATGTAGTTATTTGTAAATTTAACCGATTGAAATGGAAAGTAAAAGAGTGGAGTCTTATCCTGTGGCATTTTACTGAACCAATGTAAGTCTATGGTAAATTTTTGATTATTAATTCTATGAAAACTGTATGTATCATCAGTCTGAAAATATATAGCAACAAACTTCAGAACAGGGCCAAGGTCTCTTGTAGCATTAAAGCAGGTTTGTAGGTGTTCATGTGCAGAAATGTAATACTCAAATGTAAAATAAAACTGCATAATCGTCATCAAAAATAGAGTGATCCTTGTGAAAGATGTAAATGTCAAGAGCAATAGTGATTTTCTTGTTTTTGATGAATTAACATAAAAGACAGACATAAGCTCACATTAATTCACTAATCCAATATAATGATCCACATTATTTATCAACATTTTATGTTCACTTGAGTTCATGTGCAGAAATGTAATACTCAAATGTAAAATAAAACTGCATAATCGTCATCAAAAATAGAGTGATCCTTGTGAAAGATGTAAATGTCAAGAGCAATAGTGATTTTCTTGTTTTTGATGAATTAACTAATCCAATTAACTTATTCACTAATCCAATATAATGATCCACATTATTTATCAACATTTTATGTTCACTTGAGACATAAACATACATAAACGACTGTTTTTGATGATACTCACCAAGATGTATTTTGACATGGTCTTGTATGTGTTTGTCAGTTCAAGCACCGATAGAAGCTAGAGTGAAAGCGCCTTGGGGCTCACTCGTTGTTTGATATGCGGTGTGGCTCTCTTTGTCACACAAAACCACTCACTATCACTGAATTTAGAACTTTCATGTGTTCTTATGCTTAAATGGTGTACAATCACTTGAATGTTTTATTTGACAAGGCATAAAAACACATGCAAATGATAAACGTTCGTGAGGATGCTCACTGGCCTCTGGATATAAGTCATTAGTGTCCTGCCCTGGCCTGGTAATGATCAGATATATTGATTTAGCTTGTCAGTATGAATTAAATGTATGCATTTAGTTGTAAATTTAACCATTTCGAAAATAAAAGTTAATGAGGGGAGTTTAAAGATTTTTTTACGCTGAGGCTCCCTCTAGCGGAATGCAATTGTCCTCAAAAGGGGCATTTCTCCTCAGCCAATGTAAGTCTATGGGACATTTTTTATTTTAATAATTATTTATACAAAAACTGTAAGTCTGATCAGTCTGAAAAGATATAGCAAGAAACTACACATCAGGGCCCAGGTCTCTGTCAAGTTTGGTGTTTGTAACATTAAAACCCTAGGAGGAGATACAGTCAGAAATTTTAGTCTCAGAAGAAGAAGAGGAGGAAAAAGATTGTTTTCATAATAGTTTTCTATAGACCCTAAATGTCAACATGATATAAGTAGGCTTATTAGTATGTGATCATCTAAAAAAACACAATAATTAAAAATATACTTAGTATATCTTTAGTTGGACTTCCTCACACTTAAAGTACATTAAGTACAAAAATTAGTTGTTACAATTTAACAGACTTTAAGTTTACTAGTTTAGTTTACTGAAAGTACAATTGCACTGTATTTTTATTAAGTACATAAATATGTGAATGTTTTTGTTATATTCTTAAAATTATTTGGTTAGTCTTCTGCCAAATTAAAAAAAAAAATTTGGGGGGGGGGGGGTTTGTTTCCCACATTAAGCTTACTTTTGTTTATAAAATGTAATGTAAAGTCAGCCTATAAAGAAATAGCTTTTTGGCCTCCATAATCATATAGTTATGGCTACATAGTCATGTACTTGTCTACTAACAATGATTTACTGCATAATGATATGGCATGTCACCTAGAGATGAACAATCAGTTTTGCTAACAAGATTAAGCCAAAGTTATAATAATTTGAAGTAACTTCTACAATATATAATAAAGATGCTGTAAACAGTGTGATGATGTGTGTGTTTGATGTTAGATACTCGTGTGAGAGGATGGCTCCTGCTGGATTCCTACACACCAACATTCTTGCTCACCATCACCTACCTCCTAACAATCTACCTGGGAACAAAATATATGAAAAACAGACCACCATACTCACTGAAACATGTTTTACTGCTGTACAACTTCTCTCTTACTATGTTGTCTTTATACATGCTGGTTGAGGTAAGTGAGCATACAGTATGTTTACATGTATGTTTGTGTCTCATAGTTGCAAAGTAGGTGCCTGACTGTTGGTGTCTGCTGTTCTTACCTAATGTTGTGTTTCATGTGTTTGGTAGTTGATATCATCAGTCTGGTCTGCAGGTTATCGTCTTCAATGTCAGGGTCTGCATGAATCTGGTGAAGCAGATATCAGGGTGAGTAAGAAAAACAGCACTTCCCATTATTTCTTTAAATATATCTACCTATACTTGTAGAGTAAATAATATTCAAGGCATATGTCAAAAAAACAACAATAATACAGATCATATTCCGTGTAAATAAGTCATTGTCATATTATGCTGTTACGTTTAACTTGCACTGAAAATGTCACATTTTACATGGATAGGTAGCAAAAGTGCTGTGGTGGTACTATTTCTCCAAGCTTATTGAATTCCTGGACACCATCTTCATTGTGCTGAGGAAGAAAAACAACCAGATCAGTTTCCTACATGTGTATCATCATGCCTCTATGTTTAACATCTGGTGGTGTGTCCTCAATTGGATACCCTGTGGACAGAGTAAGTGAGCGTGAAGGACAAAGTTACATAAAGGATAGAGACAGTATTGATGTTTCAGAGCAGAAGCAGTATTGTTTTAAGATGATATTTCAAAAATGCTTAGATTTTGCTTTATGTTTTAACAATAGTCAGCATAAAGTAATAATGCATATGATGTAACATCATAAATTTTGATTACTACATGCTAAATACTTTTTCAAATAGTGAAAGTATTTTTGTACATTATACATTATATATATTTTTCTCTGGAATAGTATTGAAAAAAATGTAAAGACATTACCTGTTTATAAGACAAGACGTCCCATTTTGGTGTCCGCATGAAATAAAATTTACTAAAGGTATTTTATATATATAGAAAGCATATAAAATGCAAGTGATCATACACAATCTATTATATAAAACTTCTTGCTGACAAATGGGCAGCATTTCTTTATATTATATGTTTCACTATATAATATTTAGTGGGTGTCTTCTGTAAATCATGGTACAAATTTATAATTAACTGGATACATTTTAATGTATGAAAAAAAGCCATATTAGTGCCATAAAAGACATATTAAATTTTTATTATTTTGATGCTTGAAAACCCCTTTTCATCTTTGACTTTGATATACATTGTATTTATGGGGTGTACCGGTACACAAAATTACGGTTTGGTATGTACCTCGGTTTTGAAGTAACGGTTCAGTATGTTTTCAGTATACTGTATATTGAGATATTGCTTACAAACGGTTTTATTAATGTCTTTCCATGGTTGAAACACTGATTGAGCGATTACATGAAACCTGAGATAGTCATTCATGTTTATTTCACGCTACAACTTCTAGTAAACAGGAAGGTTTCCGTGCTTCCGTTTGAACTTACGGAGCTTATAATCTTATTATAAATCTTATTGCGATTATTGGACTGCTATATATAATGTCTAGTGATGTTTCATTAACTCATCAACTGAAATAGCTTAGACTGTCAATATCAATTAATTAAAATTATATATACATTTTCATGTGCAGTGGTTAAAACAGTGCTGTATTTGTTTGGTACCCATGCATAACTCGAAAGTCCAAAAACGTGTTCCGTTACCCCAAAAATATTATATATATGTATGATTATATATATATCTTATCTTTCAGCTCAAACTGTATAATGCAACATCTTTGTCTAGGTTTCTTTGGGCCAACACTAAACAGTTTCATCCATATCCTCATGTATTCTTACTATGGTTTGTCAACCATTCCATCCATGCACAAATATCTGTGGTGGAAACGCTACCTCACGCAGGCTCAGCTGGTCAGTGTGCAATTTTTCTATCCAATTATACTGTTCTCTTACATTTCAATTTCCCTTCACATTTTCTTGATACTTTATATTCTGTTGTGTTATTTTCATTGCATTCCATGTGTTAGATGATTGTCTCCCAATAATGTTCTCTTCTTTGTCCCAGGTTCAGTTTTTGTTGACTATAACACACACAGTAAGTGCATGGGTCGTTCCTTGTGGTTTCCCTCTGGGCTGTCTGAAATTTCAAACCTTCTACATGTGCACACTTGTCGCCCTGTTTGTCAACTTCTACATGCAGGTACTACTCAGAACTTCTACTAATTAATAAAAATTTACATATTCTTTAGTAAATATAAACTTGAGGATGATGCCACCAAAGAGAAAATGGTTCGGCAGCTCTGGCCCTCAAGGTCCAATGTCCTGGAGAGTTTAGCTCTAACCCTAAGGCCAATTTCAACACTGCATACATCTACGGCGCATTAAGCGGGATTTATACTTTCACTTGGCTCTGCTTTGCAAAACACCACGCACATCCACGAATTCAGAAGGCATTTATACTTAATGCGTTCACCGTTGAGATATTCTTTGAAACGACAGGGGGCGCTCAAACAAAATCATCCTTTAAATCAGCAGGAATAAAAGAGAAGTAGGAATTTTCCGGGTATTACGTCAGATCATTCAAGATGGTGTTCCGCAAGCAGTTGATCGATCAATCCGGACAGGTGCTTACAATAAATACAAATGTGAATGATGGTTGTCTTGCCAAATAAAACTACAGTCCCACAGTGATTGTACAAAAAAAAAAAAAAATAATTGAAGAGATGCAATGCATCATTGATGTTGTCATTTATGCTTTTATAGTAGCTTTAATTGCTGCTGTACCAATGTCTATTGATTAAAATTTGTTATCAAACTTTTAGTTGCATCTTTTACTTCTGTACATAATTCAGACAAATTTCTATCTGTTGAAGTAAATAAACATGATTACAACGGTATGTGATGTTATTGTTATGTGTAGCAACCCTTCAGCATCGAACAAATGAAGCAGAGTTTTGATGGGTGCCTTCGATTTATTTTACTCAGATGCAGTAAACTTCATTATTGAAGTATTAGTTGTCTCAATTCCTTGTTGCCAATTTTCTCCATGCATCACAACCATTGATTTACTTCATAGCATCATAACAATAACATCACTGCACCATGGCACCATAAACTATAAGAAAAAAATAACCCATAAACAAAAGTAAAATAAACTCAACCAACATTCACAATATAAACAAACAATCATTAAATAAAATATAAATATTAACTACATTAAATATACATATTTAATGATATCCAAATGAATCAACAATATCGTAACAAAGAAATACAAACAAAAAAAAACAAACCTCGCTCTGCTTGCCAAAGGGATACTAAAGCTGAAAACTAGAACCATTTCCCCGAGTTCGTCTGTTAACTCTTTGCAGTCTTTGGAAATGTGCCCCTTTCTCAGACATCTGAAACAGATGTGATTCTCATGAATAAAAGACCTTTTGTCTTTCATGAGCTTTTCTGCAAAGATAGGACATTTAGCGATACTATGTGCTTCACTCTTACAAAAAGAATATGGTGATGTTCTCTTGAACTCTGGCCTTGTTGAATCTTTAACTTGAGCCTTTATGTTAAAAGCTTTGACTCTTTTGGGAAATCTCTCATCTGAAACCATAGTACTCATTAGAAGTGGAGAAGTGAAAGGATTTCAAGCTATCTTAGACTCCTTCAGGAAGAATTCTGCAAAATTGCTTAAAGCTTGGATAGTCACCAGTCTGTTCCAGTTTGTTCCATTTGCGCACGTTCCATTCTGGTAATTTCTTGAGTAGTTTATAATTTTCCTCACAGTCATTGAAAATAGCCAAACCTTTGACATATGGAATAGTTTCAACACAGCCTTGTAAGAAATCAGTGAACTCTCGCAAAGAAGGTGGATCATTTGCTCCCACGTTAGGCCATCTCATATGTTTTTCTCGAAAAGACTCTCTGAACAATAAATTAATTTCCATACCTCTCCTCAAGGACCCTCCAGGCGCCCTGATATGCATCTTTAGAATTCCTATAAAAGAACCCTTCCACTGCTTTGCAAGCTTCCCCAGCAAGAGAGGTTTTCAAGTAAAATATTTTCTCACATTTGCAGGAATTGATTTACGATCAATAAGTGCTGTGAAAGACATTTTCCTATCAATGAACTTTAGAGGATCACCAGAGATAATCGTTGGTTCTGGAACAGGTAAATGACTTATGCTGAGGGAGTTTACTAATACTTGGGCTAAATTTTCTGTCTCTTGAGTCGTTTTTGCCTCTTGAAATACTTGTGGAGAATGGAATGACTCTACCTGAAGGTTCGTCTGGGCTTTATTATCAGCTTCTCTCCATCCAGACCGAGTTACATTACCTCTCTCCTCTTCATCTTCAAGATTGCTCTCACAATTATTGTAGGCCTTCACTCGAGCTGCGGCCACTTAACTTCTTTATCTACTTGTAGCATCTGCAGCCTTGTCCTTTCTTCCTCTAGTCTTAGGTGTATATCTGTTTCTTTCTGTTTTATCTCTGCTTACATTCTTGCCTCATTCATCTTCCAGTCATTCTCCATCTTAAGTAATCAGGCTTTCTGTGAAATTTTTTTGAATTTCTTGCACAGCCTTTGCTTGCTCAACTTTGGTGGCGAGTTTTGCTTCTGAGTCGGCTTTCTTACTGGAAGCTTTGGAGGAGGTCTGTGATGATTCTGAGATGATAGTCTCTGTATTGGTGCAGCCAAAGACAGATTCATACTCATCTTTATTTAAAGGGGTCATATGATGCTGCTAAAAAGAACATTATTTTGTGTATTTGGTGTAATGAAATGTGTTTATGTGGTTTAAGGTAAAAAAAACACATTATTTTCCACATACTGTACATTATTGTTTCTCTTCTATGCTCCGCCTTTCTGAAACACGTTGATTTTTACAAAGCTCATCGGTCTGAAAAGCGAGGTGTGCTCTGATTGGCCAGCTATCCAGTGCATTATGATTGGCCGAATACCTCAAGCGTTTGACGGAAATGTTACGCCCCTTACCCTACTGTGATGCCGTGTCCCGGTCGGAGCGACGAGACAAAAACATTAAAACCCATTACAAACTAGGCATTTGTTGCATCCAGTGGGGACATAATTATGGATTATAATGACCTATACTGTCTTTTTACGCGTTGCATTGCATTGCTCCACGTAAACATAAAACCATAGAGAGAGTACAGGGTCCTATGTGACAAAAAGTTTGATTTATTGCCCCTCATAAACCCCCCCTCCTCCTACCATAAATGGACACCTGTTTCTGTACACTCCCACCCATCTAACCGGACATGTGTTTATCCACCCTAATGATCCAAAGGAATTTATGATTGTTTGGGGCTGTGTTTTTTGTGTGGGTTCACTGAAACTGTTCAAAACTATGTGCTTTAAACTTTAAATTGTGAAACGTGGTATGATTATTAAACGGGGATAAAGGAAGTTTTTATTAAAGTTTTCACACACATACATTTCAAGAAAAACATCAAACATACGAGGTTTATAAACAATGTAATGACTGTTTTTTCCCAGAAAAGAGTAAAAACGTGTTAAGACGAATATATAAGTGTTGTTAATTTAAAAACTAGTTAGAGTTTGTTACAAGTTAGAAAATAAAAAGAAAACTAGGCTACTGACCATCTATCTAAAACAAACAAAAAAGTATCCGATAGTTCGTTAAACAGTACGTGGCAGTCAAAAATCTTGTCACATTACAATTTAAAAGTTTGAGAGTTTGTTACCTGTTAGAAAATAAAATAAAAAATGCTGACATCTCACCGTGATCTAAAACAAAAAGCGTCAGATACGTTCATTAAACAATATGGCAGTTACGTTTTTAAAAGTTTGAGAGTTTGTTACCTGTTAGAAAATAAAATAAAAAATGCTGACATCTCACCGTGATCTAAAACAAAAAGCGTCAGATACGTTCATTAAACAATATGGCAGTTACGTTTTTAAAAGTTTGAGAGTTTGTTACCTGTTAGAAAATAAAATAAAAAATGCTGACATCTCACCGTGATCTAAAACAAAAAGCGTCAGATACGTTCATTAAACAATATGGCAGTTACGTTTTTAAAAGTTTGAGAGTTTGTTACCTGTTAGAAAATAAAATAAAAAATGCTGACATCTCACCGTGATCTAAAACAAAAAGCGTCAGATACGTTCATTAAACAATATGGCAGTTACGTTTTTAAAAGTTTGAGAGACTGTTACCGGTTAGAAAAGAAAGAAAAAAATGCTGACTTATCTTACCATCTAAAACAAAAACAAAAAAATATCAGACCGTTAAGCAATAAGATACTTGGCAAAGTCTATGGTGTACTCTACCATTACAATTTAAAACTAGTTAGAGTTTTTCACAAGTTAAACAAAAATAAAAAGACCCTCTCATCTTACAATGTTTTCCGTCAGTTCTTCCTCACACGCTGCAGTCAAAACACGGAATGAGCTCAGGAGCGCACCTCTCAGGCCACACCTACAAACCCAACCCCTAACAGCGGAGGAGAGCTAATCACCCAAAGGTGTAACGTGTTTAAAAAGGGGGTCTGTTGAGAATAACATCCTTACCTAGACGCAAAATACAAACGGTGCTTTTGTGAATTGGAAAAACAGGAAATTATTCTGTAACAATGGCTGAGGCATCATCACCTAAAACTCTGAGAAGAGTGTTGAGTTTTCTATGAGTGATCTTACTCTGGCACCGAGGAAGTTGAAACATGGGCCGTGTCTGGCCAAATTCCTCCACGAACCTTTGGATAATGTTAAGTATGAGTTTCATTTGTCCGGTAACCATATTTGCAGTTACAACTTTGACAAGAACAACCGGGAGGTCAGACTGAGTACCGTGGACAATGATGAGAGGTTCACGTACGATACGTGCGACGACTCTGAGCTGTTTTTCACCTTAAAAGATTGGTGTTTATTTTACAACTATGTCTGGCGTGATCTAAAAGACGGGTGCGATGACCCTCTGTTCATAGGGGAGTGGAATGGTATCACTCCAGGTATTCACAACAAGTACGCTGATGATTATGTTTATATACTTTGTAGCGATCACAGCTTGGACCTACCTGAACGCGTTTGGCCGATATCTGAAGAGGATCATCTCAAATACTATACCATTACATTTTTGTTTCAATGGAAAGACGTGTCTGCGTTAGAAGACATATTCGGTAAGATAGACAAATTGTTTAAGTGGTGTGAGGCGTTTGACAAAT